TGAAGGTTATTAGTAGTTTTAAACATTTATTGGAATATTGCAAATGGCCCTGGCCTGGCCCTAAAAGGTGTACCCTTTAGCAGATTTACAAATGACTAAAATATTTATGGATAACGAAGCGATTATCGGGCATTATATATTTGCATGTTCCTGAGACTCGCTGCGCACGTTAAGGAAAATGGAAGACAAATGCCGAAATTATAAGATTCTCGAAAACTTGGACTCGTTTCATAAAGCTGAATAGACTTATAGATTTAAGGAATCCTTGCAACTTGAAGTAACAAGTCCATGATTCATACTATTTAAGTGCGATAATGAAGAACGGAATCGAGTTCGTCCCGGAAGGGTTATTAGTTTGCTGCTTGATTTGTTTTGTATTTGACTTTTAATATTTATTTTAAGTGATTTTGCAATGATATCGGTGTTCAAACTTGAATAAGTTCAAGGTTTTCTGGACTGAGTTTTCTTCGAAAACCAGGTTAGAGAACTAGGAGCTTATATGCTTGTTATCAGTAAATACAGAAGCACAAGGTGATATTCTTCTGATAATTCTACGGCGAGCAATCCGTATGCCGTATGCTGACCAAAAGGGGGTTTTTCCCCGGGATCTCCGGTTTCCCTCTTAAATAGAACGATTTTTGTAAGCCTTAGAAGTAACGAATTAAATGCAAGAAAAGGTCAATGATTGTCTGTTATTGTTGCTAGTTGCTGATTTAACAGTGAACCTTAAGAAGCTAGTTTAACGTGGGTAAAAAGGTAAAGTCTGCATACGAGCCAAGTGGCCCATCAGGCCGAAGCTTAACCCGGTTCTGTAGCATGAAGCGGGTGGGAGTATTTCTACTCCCCCCTGGATGGTATGCTAGTCCATCACAAGATTACCCCAGTTTTAAATTCGCCGGTACCCATTTGTATATCTGGGTGGGGAGGGGCACTGCGTGAGTCAAGTGTCTTGCCTAATGACACAGCACAATGTCTTCCGTCCAGGGCTCGAACCCGGACCGCTCGATCCGGAGTCGCACTAACCATGAGGACACCGCGCCTCCACAAGCAAACTTAATCAATACGAATTAGAATCGACTTAGTTTCCGGCTGGTCTTCAACCTTTGGTTGTCGAGCGGCGCTTCTCGTAACGGAGCGAATGAGGCTAAATGTGACAGATAACGTCACGACTTAATCTAAGTTGGGAGTAAAGAGAAAAAAACAACTGTGACAAAAACCACGACAGTAAATGACTGTACATGTTTATGTTCGTGAGACAATCCGCGACACTCTCGAAGATAAAAGAAACTAACTAGACTGAGATTGTGCTTAATCACTCGATGGTAGTTGTAGTCTCCTTCGCAGACGTTCAGTCAGGGGAACTAGCCCAAAGAGCGTCTACGCGCAACGTTAGCCCGTGTGTAGACGTCTGCTATGCACGCGGACTGAAAGTGGAGGTCTGCTTGCAGGCTACAGTGGCTTCGTGAAATATGTGTGACACAGACGTGTCACATAACATACCGGAAGAGAAGTCACGAAGAGGAGTGTTCAAACATTTTGACTTCCGCTGTAGTTCTTTGTCCCAGGTCCCGCGCTGATAACGCCTTTCATTTTGTGTTCTCGTTCGCCTTTTCAACTCCTTGCATTCCACGATAACGACTCGGTGAGTTGTTAGGTTTCTAGGTATTTTTTCGTCGAGCTTCTTACTCATTGCTCATAAGAGATGCATCGGGACACAATACTACTGTTTTGAACTCTATCTTGTGTCCACGAACCACAAACATATGGATCTTTCCGTCGAATGAATTGTCTCGTGAATTTTACTCCAATTTGCGGTATCTGTTTTTTGGACATCTGTTCAACCTTTGAGTTTTTGATTTGGTACCATTCCAGCTAAAAAATATGTCGACACAAGTAGAAATAAGAGAAGAAGGTTCGTTCAAGCAAGCCTTGTCGGATGTGAGGAGCGATGCGTCCCCTACGAATTGGTAAGGGAACTTTACAATATACTCTCCCACGCATAACCTTGAAGCCTTAGCACATCAGCTAAATACAATCTATGGGCTTTTAATAAGCTGTGAATAATAAGCTTGTCGTTTTTCTTGTCAATGATACTTTTGCCATTACTTTTTTTTGGATTAATTAGGGCGGAAAGTCTATGTATTTCCGCTAGGTAAGAGTTGAAATCACTCAAAAAATGCAATCTTAGCTTGCTACAGTTAGCAGATTGCGTGACTGTCGTGAAAAATCTTTTATTATTATTTATTATATTATACATGGATATTGCGAACGATACAAGCTTACGCTTACCTGTTCTGGGATTATTTGTATATGCAGATTTAAGGTTATATATAATTATTCGTATTATATCAGGACATAACATGGCGATTATTTCGATAGTCGATAAAAATCGATCATTGTCGATCGTTGTCGATACTAATTAATTGACAAATATCGGAAATTGATAAAAGTCGATCACACAATTTATTGTGATTATCGACTTTGTTCGATTATGATTGATTTTGATCGATTTTGATCCATTTCAATCGACAAGTGTTGGAGATACAAAAAATGATGTACAGCGTAGGCATACGTAGGTTGTGGACTGGTGCAACAGTCACAGGTGCAAGGAGAAGCAGGGGGCATACAAACCCAGCGAATACAGCACACCTAGCGGAGAGGGAGGAGAATCGTAGCAGCTTGTATTTGTCAAATGTTGAACTGAATAAAAACACTGATGAAATAAAATGTCAATTTACTTTACGTNGTCAGACATGCTAAATGAAAGGTTTCATCTTCTAAGTTAATATTTAAACCATTGGAGACAAGTTAGCCCATCTAAGCTTGATTTTGATTGACCTAATTGCAACATGCTTACAGCTCAGAGTATTACATGTGTACATGTATATTGTTTAATCTACAGGATGCTGGCAGCCCACTGGGAAGGTAACCCTAATGTTATCTACTGCAAGGCAAGGGGAAGTGGAGGTGCCGATGAAATGACAGGTGCACTGGAAGACAGCGAAGTTATGTATGGCTTAGGTAAGCTACCGAGTAGACTAGATGGTCAGATAGGTGTGTTGTTTGGAACTGTAAATTCCACAATACAAGTACAAGTTTATGGACTGGAGAAAGTGATATTAGGACAAGGTTTAACTACATCATCGTATTGCTGTTAAAGATTTCTTCAGGTTCTAACTTACAGGTGTAAAATACAAACAAATTCCAATTTATATACAACTTTGTCGAAGGTCGAAGGTGGGGCAATTCACATTGCTTGTTGCCCGCTCTCAAAGATTACATTGTACATGTAAGTAGACTCCAATGTGTTAATGGTTGGGTTAATCACAACCAACAATTTTGTTTGGCTACTAAACAGCAAGAAACAGATTGTAAAATTATGACATACATAAATATGTACTGTACTTGACCTGGAAATCATTTGAGAAACAGCACAGTTGGAATAGTTGAGATTTAAGCCTGAAGTTTTGGAAAGATTATATATTATATAAACTTTTTAGAAATTCAGTATAGAAAGCAGAGAAATTAAGTGGCATATTTAAAGAGTAAACAGCAGGTTGCTGTTGATTCTGGGTTATTTTCCCTGACTAACTAATTAAAATAAACCTGCTAGTCAATTAGGCAACTGGAAAAAAAATTGTCATCCCCGGCAAACACTCAAGTATTAACTGTACTCAAATGTGCTCCCCCAAACAACAACAACAACAACAAACAAATCAATAACAATCACATTTTCATTGTACAAACCCAGTCATTTAAATGAGTTGTCAATTACCACAATTGACTCAACAAAGAATAAACTATGTATTGTGTGTCCATAATCCGTCTGTATCAGAGTTTACTCAGACTGACACCTTTTGACATCTCAAATAGCACAAAGCAAAAGCAAAAAAAAAAAAAAAAAAAAATATTCTGTTTAAACCAGCCAGAACAAACAAGAAGACATTAAGCTAAAGGTATACAGGCTATGTTTTAAAATATTTCAATTTTTAACACCATTTTGACCAATGATNAAAAAAAAAAAAAAAAAAAAATGAGTATTTTATCTATTGAACTACTGTCACATTAAAACACTGTTAGGATCTTATCCAAATGTACTAAATTTTCTCATAACAGATCTACAATGTATCTCACCTTCATGCACTGAAACACTCAGCATATATACAACTACTGAACCACATGTACATGTAAACTCAGTCTTTTCAACTATGTACTGACTGCAAGTTATGCCCTCGGCATTTGATTGAGAAAATAAAAGTAATTTGCGTTGATGTACTGGTTAATCATTTCCATGCTTACAGTTCGTTTGGTAGAGTTGGTAGACAGCTATGTGGAGTCAACTGTGAAATTTGTTTATGTTCACTGGGTTGGAGAAAGTGTCCCCTTTACTAAAAAGGGAAAGTTTGGTGTAGTTCATGGCAGTGTCGAAGAGCACTTTCAGGTATGAGAAGAATTCCAACCATTATTTCAGTTACCCATTATGCAGTAACTTCTGCTGAAACATTTAAATCCCACCAGCTATATACAAGCGACCACAAATATAACTTATTTCACAGTACAACATATAGGTTGTCAATATCAATTTGTGATTGGTTTAAACACATGGAATTTTATTTATCAGAGCTCGAAAAAAAATTTGAATTCTAGCTTGCCCTTTGGACAAGCAGCTCTCAAATTTTGCTTGCCATGGGCAAGTCTTAGTCTACTTTTTTATATTCCATTGAAAGACAACTCACTCTGGCCCTCACCCCACTTGCCCATTGGGCAAATGAGAATAAAAAGTTACTTGCCCGGCAGGAAAACCTAACTGTTCTTTTCCTGGACGACTGTACTGGATGGCACTTTTTTGAACCCTGGGTACTTATTTATATTTTTTGATGGTAATTTTGCGAGTCTACTTTTAGAGACTACCATTTGAATGCCATATGCCACTTTATAATATACCATGCAAAGGTTAAAAAGGAAAAACTGTGTACTTGTACTGTGTATCTGAAGCAAGTTTGACTCCAGGAGAGGAATAGCTACTTGTTAAAAATCTGAAATTGTTTCCCTGCATGCCCTTTTACAGCCAAGTCATTGTGTGATAGAAACAGCACATAGAGCAGACTTAACAGAGGAGGAGATGATGAAGGTCATTTCAGAAACAAGGTGACTGTAGAGCTCATGTCAGTGCATCTTTTTACAAGGGACTGCAACTATTGTGGTCAGCACCAAGAAAAACAACCTCTATTGGTCCCACTTTGAATAACATTATGTGGACTTCTAGCCATTTTACACAGACCATGTTCCATATCTAATTCTGCTCAAATCTGATTGGCTGAAAACCACTCAGATTATGATACTTGTACATGTATCACGGTGGGGGAAAAAAAAAAAACAGGCTATACTGTTATTTCCCAGTGAGCGTTGCAAACAAAAACACTTTTCCACTAAATCAAACAAAAACATTTCCTCTACTAATGAACTCCTTTTCTTTTACATCTTATCCAAAGGCTCTACAGGTCTAAACATACTTTAAATAATTTAATGTATTAATTTGCTTTTCCGTAGTGGAAGGACAAACAAAGTTCTTGATGTCACAGATGCTGCCCAAAGACAAGTAAGTCCGTGGGACGAGCGTAGCATTTCCATGTATTTTAAGACAAATCCATATAATTCGAAAACGCCAAGAAGCGGCCGTCATTTTGTTAACAAGGGCACACTGCTACGCTACTCACTATCTATCACAGAATAGATACTGAGTAGCGTAGCCAATCAGAGAACGGCATTCGTGATAAAACGCTAATAGATTTACAATAATTGTTAATTAGTGTGCAATGGCTGGAGGTCGTTTACAAAATGGCAGCGTTTCTCGTTTTCTTCCGATATTTTGAGGAAGATTTAGAAATATCACTAGATAATTCACTTCTCAAGAACACTCAAGAAGGGAAATTGACCGTCAAGAGCTTCAGACCTCCAAATTTTTCAATGGACTGATTAGCGCTTGTAAACTGCTGCAAAATTCACATAACGATTCAATCCACGTGCGGGTGGGGTAGGGTGGGTATGGTGTGATGTGGTTTTCTTTTTTATCGTATTAATATCAAATATTAATCGTAGTAACAGTAAATAAGAAAAATAAAAACTTGTGATCTTTAAATAAAGATGAGCATGGCAACAGCGAGCTTCATTCTAAATCAATATTCCGCATGTTGCTTACAAACGCTTGTGCAGTTCTGGCTGGCATTTCCTGCGTACACTCATATTCTCACTGCCTGATTGTTGTGTTACAGGATCGCGGTTTTACTAGTAGCAGTAATGTCATTAAAACAGGAAAGACACAGAGCAGTTTCCAAACTCCTGGTGCTGGTTAGTATCTTTTTTTCCCTTTATTTTTGATGACTAGCAAGACTGCACAGCACACGTGCACACTGCACTGGGCTAAAAGCCTGTTTTATCATGCCTGCCACTGAGCTTAATATATTTATCTCGCATTGCAACCTCATAATTTTACTTGTATACCCTCATTTCATCATCTACATGAAATGGAAATCATGCATGGGTATGTACTCTGGACAAAACTGTCCCCTTGATTGTACGACCCCTTTCTTTTTCCTTGATGTTTCTCATTTTCAATGTTAATTTCTCCTCTCTCTTTCTCGTTTTCAATGTCCTTCGTATTTGCTCCCACTTTGGACTTTCTCTCTCACGTTTGCTTTCCTCGTATGAATTTCTCTTTTCTCTTCCTTGGTCGTCATTGTTGAGTTCTGTCCAGGAATTAACTGCTTGCTCCATATGTTTGCTTGAAGTGGCTGTCAACGTAGATGATGCTGTAACTGAAGCGATAGCTGAAGTCCGAAGTGATGATACACAAACCGACTGGTAAAACACATCTGCATGTATTCTAGCTTACATTATTGTTCTTCGATAACGACAACGTTTATCAGTCTGACATATCATAGATATTGTATGTCCTCGTATACATGTAAATGATTACTGGTAGATTCTTATTCTCATGCATTTAACATACATTGTATCAGAGATGACACAAACAAAACCAGTTTACACTCTCTTTATTAATCACGGTTATCAAAGACTCTGCGGCGGCCGTTTGAATTTGTTGTAAGGTGCGAAAGTCAGTTGAAAACATCTTTTGGTTCAGTAACTGTACCATTAATAGTGTCCGCTATTTTGCTGTCAACTGGCCACTGCCTATTTGACTCTTATTTAATTGTTTCATTGTGTTAGGTGTGTTGGTTCTTATGCAGAAAAGAATGCCAAGAAGCCAATTGTTCTGACTGGTAAAGGCACAGATGGACTGAAAGGGATCGTAGCTTTGCTGGAAAATGATACGGTCGCTTATGCTTTGCTTAGAGTGGTACGTGCATAACTGTGTCATGTTTGTAAGGGTTTGTGCAGAGTTTTTTCAAACAAAACCCAGTATACACGCCTAGAGCAAATCTCAGTTATATAAGCACACGAGAAAACTTCTCTATTTCTTGAGTGTTGTTAAAAAATTGCGGCAATTGACATTGACAATGACAATGACAATGACATTGACAATGACACTGACAGTGACAGTGACAGTGACAGTGACAATAACAATGATAATAATTATAATAATTATAATAATTATAATAATAAATTTTATTGGGCTCAGTAATAAATTTTTATTGGGCTCTTTAGTAATTGGACATAATAATACTAATACTAATAATAATACTAATACTACTACTACTAATAATGATGATAATAATAATAATAATAGTAATTCACTAAAACCTTACATGATAATTGTTTATAGCACAGAACTATTTTAAATAACAATTGTATTAAAATCCTTGAAAAGGGAAGCAAAATGTAGTTTACAGAAATGAATGAATAAAATGAATGGAAATTATATAATAGTAATAATAATAATAATAATAATGATAATGGTAATGATAATGATAATAAATAATAAATAATTATATTTATTAACTTCTATTGCGCCAATATCGTTGTAAAAATTTTCATCAGCACAAACAAGATTGTGTTCCTATGTTTTCTAAGAAAATAATGCATACTTGAGGTCTAGGGAAACTGCTCAACGCCCTTGCGTTCCGCATGTTCGTCCTCTAGCAGTTTTTCTAGACCTGAAACGTGCATTATTTTCGTAGAGAACATGGAACATCATCTTCTATTTGGTAAATAATGAATTCGAACTGACCAATCCTAGCGCGCGTTATTCCTTGAACATTTTATAAATACATTCTTGGTTACAGTTTTCACGATCAAGTTTTTGTTTCTGCTTAGCTGCTGACTTTTTCCATCTTCCTTTCTCTTTTCTAGCAAGATGAAGTTGATGGCATAACAACAGTGAAGTTTGTGTTCATACAGTGGGTGGGTGAAAATGTCAAACCCATGACCAAAGGAAAGATTAGTACGCACAAGTCCACTGTTGAAAAGGCGTTCCACGTATCCTTCGCTGTAAATTATGATGTTTTTATATCAGTTAGACGTATATACACTGTATTTTGTTGGTGTTCATGCTCTCTCGTAGAAACGTCGATGCTGTACACTTAGAAGCATCAATAGCTATAACAGCCAACAGAACAGGCAGCTTAAAGGAGCCTGTCCTGTGCCCTTTAAAGCAATGAAACGGTCAGTTTATCGCTGGTACAGAAAGTTACTCGATGAAAAAATTGTTCTTTTGGTGTGAGTGTACACAGCCTATACCAAACCCTTCCCCACGTTGGCAGAGTTATGTAATCCGTCCTGTTTCGCAACTGATAAGTATCCGTGGTGTTATTTTCTCCGGTAGACTATTCCTTGACTGAACACGTTCCAGCCTGCACACGTTGCAATTTACGCAACGGCGTTAGGAGAGTTATCAGAAGATTCGATTCTGTCCAAGGTGCAAAGTGCAAGTGGATCGAAGTCGCATGTCAAATAGTGGGATAAATTAGTAGGAAAATCAGTATAATTAGTTGTTGGTTAAGCAGTTATTACCAAATTGTAGATTTAAAACTAAAACTAAAAGTGCAAAGATTATATATGTTTTTTAAAACAATTCTGCTACTGGCAACAGGGTACATGCAGTAAGAAACTGTAATTTTGTATTTTGATCATTTAATCAGAAACTTATGTAAACAAGGGACCATTCAATCTCAGTCTACACTATTAAGTGTTTTGTACTGATTGAAGTGTTAAGAAAAGAATCTGAAAGACTCAGGGTGTTCTGTTAAACTAAATGGGTTGAACCAAAACTAATATGAAAAAATGGACATTTTACTTTGAGATTCACGATAAAAGATAGAGCCTATGTAATATGCTGTGAGTGGAAAATGTCACTCAGTTCTATTTGATGAGTTTTACCAACGAGTTACAGTTAGAGAACCTGTTGCAGGCATATGTGTTTTAATGCATAAAATGCTTTAGTTCTATAACTGTTGATACTATAGAAATAATCACATTTTACCTCCCACGGCCTGCTTCCCCTCCCAATCAGTAGCCAAAAACGGCACAAGGCCTCATTTGATCTCTGATATTTGACTTTGAGCAAACAACAAAGATTTCTGTTGTTCATGTAAAGAAAATCTCTCAAATTAAATGTGTCCCGATACTCATCAAAGCGCGGCAGTTGTTACTGAGTGTGGGAGAAGGGAACAGTTTACTTATTAAGAGTAGAGTAGCACACCTGAAGGGCTGAGAGGGTCTAAAGTTGGAAATAGACTCTGTTCTACCACGTACGATTTACCCCATGCATTGAATCCCGTCACTCATTGCAGACACATCCAACAATGTGTATAGCCGTCTAGGCTTGTAGACAAACTCACCTTTAACCCAAGATACACATGTCTCTTACACTAGTTATAACTTGGAACAAAAATATGGACATACCACCACATAAGATTTACCCCATGCGTTGAATCCCGAAACTCATTGTAGACACCTCCAACAATGTGTATAGCCGTCTAGCATTGTAGACAAACTCACCTTTAACCCAAGATACAAATGTCTCTTAAACTAGTTATAACTTCGTCTTGGAACAAAAAATTTGTATGGTCACAGTGCAAAGGATCTTTTGTTTGCAAACCTTGTATTTCCATTTGAAGCCGTGATGTAGTGGTGACCTTTTTTTTAGACAGAGGAGGTGGGGAGCTTGTGAAGAAATGTTCGGGCTTTAGCGCACTAACAGGCTGCCACGTTAACCTTCCTTATTTAGCCTGTAGTCTGTTTTTCTTTGAGGACGAGGTAAAGCGCAAGAAATGCTAGGTGATTTAACTGCCGATATATAAAGGCCCTATCTCAGTCCCGCGGTTGAAAACGCCAGTTATAACTTTTCTCTGATGGAGCAGCTTTATCCTTAAAGGAATTAGGCCATCAATCACTTACCTTGTTTTCAATTTACAAAAGATGCTTGTAGTGAAGTTAAACGGTCTACGTGTGAATAGTTGTAAACCAAGGGTAAACAAACTTTAAAAAATAAAAAAAAAATGTAACTTTTATTTACCCTCGGCAATGTTTATAGCACAAGTGCTAGTGGGGCCGAGCAAACAACGTAAACTAATAATTCAAATTGAACATAACATTGTTAAGAATCCCAACTGGCCGGAGGCAAACCAGTTGGCTATTTACAAGCGTGGCCGATGATTTGAACTCGGGACTAGCGAGAAACAAATCCAAGTGGTTGTCAGAGCTGGACTCGAACCTGGGACCGCTGGATTGCGAGTCCGACACGCTGACCACACGGCCACGCTGCCTCGTTTAAGGCATGTTACGCTGGTTTTCAAAAACCGTTGGTTCAAGAAGATGGTTGGTTCAGTTAGGCGAACACTTTAGGTCTTTCTTTTATTTTACTTTATTTTTTACTTTTCAGCCTTTAATAACATCTTTTAAGGTTTAAAAATTTTAAGGGAATATTATTGTCATCAAAGATGGTTGATGATTATGATGAAATATGATAGACATGTACGTACGCAGATAGATACAACCTAACCTGCTTTGCGATAAATTTAAAATATGGTTCCCAGGGCGTTTCTGTATATGCCGAACTCACATTTTACACCCTACCAATGATAACTAACAAACGTGAACTGCGCATTAGGTCCTCGATAGACGAGAAAGTTAATAATCGGCAATATTGGCAGCTAAACTAGATCGACAACTATTTGTACTTGAGGGTGCTTTCCACATGGTTCAGGCCAAAGCGACAGGTATCTACAGTTATTTATGTGAGATCATGGCACCTTGCGTTCGCCGAGAATTTTCAGATTGCATGTTTTGGCTCTGCGCGGAAACCGTTGGTAATAAATACTGATGGTTTCTTGGCTTTTGACAACTGTTTCGAAGACTAGCGAAGCTAGTTAACTGTCTGTTATCGACAGCTAATTAAAAGTAGTTTTCCTTTCGGAAAAAAAATATATTGTTGTCGATATCTATTTTTAATAGCTTGTTCTTGATAACTTTCATCCGTTACTGGCTTTTCAGTCATCGTTATACCTTGGGTTTTGTTATCCACACCTGAATCATGGTAGTTTGTCGAGGGACTTGGAGAGGTATATCTTATGCACTAAACGCAAATCATCTTGTCACTGGAAGAACGATAAGTGGCAATATCATGTACGCAGATATACAACAGAGATGTACGTTAAGTTTCAATTTTAGAAGTAACTGCTAGTAATGATAATAATATTTAAGAAGTGTTAACAGTTACATGTAGCTTTGAAGATACCTCTGGTACAGTGAAAACAATGACAACAACGAAATGGAGTCCAAGCTAGACCACTATCAACCGGAAGACAAACTTATTATTGGCCTGTTTGTTGGAAAGCTTTGATATCAACTTTCTTTTCTCGTATATCGATGTCGTTTGATCGGAAGTGTCAGCTATCCTTAGTTTCCAATTTGACAATATCGATGTTAAATTGTAAGCAGTGAATCAACTTTAGCTGAAAACAAGGATTTCCTTAACAGTTATAATTCTGATCTCAGTTCTAATAGTGCGCCTTGAGGTTGTTTGTAGTTCCTTTCTGGATAAATAGGAACGACGAAGAAGACCTTTGACGTTGTAACGCGTCGAAATAAACCGGTTTTTCCAGTTGTACGGTATCGAGTTTCCTTTAAGACGATCCAAGGTTCGACACTTTCAAACCAAGGAAGTCGATCGGTTGCTTGGAGTGAGTCAGGTTCTTACCATATGTTACGCGCGAGTGACTTCAACAACGTTCTTGTACTAAATAAAGAGCAGGAGCGGAAGTTTACGTTAAGGTGTCATTTTTAAACTGGTAATAGAAGGAAGGGACTTTTTTCTGCGAAGGAAGGATATTTCTTTTTTTCCGCTATTATTTGTCTAATCGGAGTTGATACCCATTTCACCAAATGTTCACCTCGCTTATAAGAAAGTTAGTACTTCTGCACATTACTGAGAAATCGGCCGATTGCTTAGGCCACTGACGAGTGACCGAGATGCCCGCTCGTAGTGCTGTGTTATTTTTCATCAAGATTAATTTATATTTTAAAATCGTTTCAGTGTGATTAAAGTACAATTAATAATGCTGTTTCTCCTTGAAATAAATGTTAATTATGGCACGTTTGTTTTGTTAGAGCTACTTTCGGTTGCACCTGTTATTTATACACGGCTAGTCTAATGAATATGACCGATGGAAATGAGCTTTTGGACAGCTCGTCGGGTCAAAACAACAGATAATTTTTTACCAATGGAGAACGTTCATTAGCTGGGATGTGAAATTGAAATAAACTACATGTATTTCCAAACTATGTTAAGTTCATGTGGCGGTGAACAAGGTCTCTCGACTCAATTAATAGGAATTAGCTAATTACTGGTTCCGCGAAGCTGACAGAGCGTGGTTTCGTAACAGCGTCGGTGGCAGCATACACCCACTCTTGTAAGCGTCACGGTTAAGCAGATTTCCTTGACAAACATTGCGACATTATAATTATGACCACCATAGATCTATCTTAAAACCGAGTGCCGGGTTGGTTTCGCTTTAACGACTACCGTCGATAAACCAGAAGTAAATAAATAATCAGGGCCTAGTTAAATATGCATTATTATTATACGTGTTCCTGAAATGTGTGTGATAGCCACATCATCATAGCCGTCTCACGATATAGATAACTTGTTTATATAAATTATTGATTCCATGCCACAAGCATTCACATTAAGAAAAGCCAAGTGGCCTCTTCAAAGTGATGTCACATGTTCTGATCTCGTGCTTATTTGCTATATTTGCTGCAAGAATCGATTTCCACTTATAACGGCTTTGTTAACAATTCCAACGAAACAACGTCAGGAAGTGTATCGAAAATATCTGATGGAATATCAGCAAGCATTAAATTAAGTTAATTGAACGTGAAATCACAAGATCACGAACGACAACTGAAACAAAAAGAGAAGTTACTGCAGTTTATTAACAAAAAGTGAGCCCTGAAATCTAAAATAGAAAGAGGAACACGAAATTAAAGGTTTACAAACCAGAGTCTCGATTCAGATAACTGATTCCAGGACGTTTAATCCGCATTCTTTTGAACTGATAAGAGGAAGCTAACTCCCAAATATACAATGCAAGAGCTACAGCAATTCTGGTGGACTTTTCACAACTTCTAAAATGGACCTTGAGCGTAATTCCCTAAAAATATATATTTTTTTATCATGCGAGTCAGGTTTATTATGACGAAACATGTTGCTATAAAAGAGACTGTTCAGTCCAAGGAGATTCACAGAGTTCAGAACTTTAGGTGAACACAGTACAGTGAATCGGTGCCTTAATTCACCCTGATATCTTTACATCCCAACCATGATGAGCTTCAAATCAAAGGTAAGTGATCCTTTTTAACTAGCAATTAATCAAGTTTGTTAAAGTTAGGAGAAATGTTTTCTTAATTAAAAACACAAGTAAATAGCTTTTGGTAGTTTTTTCTTCTTCCTTTGCTAAACATCAAGAGCAAGGCAATGGGTTGTCCTTGCGTCGCGCAGACTTCTTTTTGGGCCACGTACCATCCAGCAATGAAGTGTATACCTTGAATATAACCAAGCTAACGAGGAAAAAAGTTTCAGGTCCTCGAGCTAAATATTAATAGACCCAAATCAAGGGGATGTTTGTAAGCAAAAAAAAAAGAACACTTAAACAGAAGAGTAATCTTTCTAGCTGTTTGATCGAAACTGAAAAGAAACAGAGAAAAGGTTAATATTTTTCTCCTGATTATCACTGTCGAAAGACTTCAAGTCTACAATTGCTATATGAATCCCAATTGGCCATTTTCGTATTCTCGGTGTAAAACTAGAACTAGCTTGCAATGGAGGATGAATGAGATGATCTGCATTAGAAAAGGCTCCCCGCATTAGCCTCAGTTGTAAGCTAGTTCCAATCCAGTACTTTTTTTTTTTTTTTTCAACGAGAATACGAATTGAAGTTGTCTATATTCGAGCCACTTGCTGTGGTCGTGGTGCCAAAAGAAACGGAAGTGAAGAGCAGCTCGCTGCGTTACCTCTGCCTTATACAAGAAATGTAAGAAGTGTGTTTTATTCCGTCACAGGATGTCCTCTACCCAACCGTTGTTGTCCTGCTAGTGTTCTTCACCAGTTGTGAATATGCTGAAAGTAAGCCCACAATTCCCAGCAACACGGCATCTCCACCAAACGTTGACGTCACTCAGCAGAGAAAGATTTTAGATCATCCTATAGAAGATGCCCTTGGGTTGATGACACGTGATCCAGAATATGAGATTGAAGCCGCTGCTGCCCAGAACCACAAGGAAGAGAGAGTCAGAAGAGATACTACGCCAAACCCCTGTGTGACAGGACACAAACTCGTGTTGATCGATCACGAGAAAGTGTTCCTAACGGTGACCTGCGCGGAAGGTTGCAAAGAAATTAAGCGGATACTCTTCTTAAAGGATAGAGAGGATCCATTGGTGCTTCCAGTGAATTGTGCAGCGAAGAGTTAAAACTTGAATGCTTGTAAATATACCAGCTGTGAAAAATCTCGCTGATTTTTATTGCAAATTTTTAATTACGTTTTCGTTATGAGAACATACGTAGTTCAATTAAGAACAATTCTGTACAACGATGACCGTTGGACAATATAGAGTATTTAACTCTTTCTCATGCCTCTGTGTATAGTGTTTTGCCTGCATCCCTTTTGCTAATCTTTAATTTTTCTTCACTTTTGCTACATTGAAATAGAAAAACCGCGTCTTGTAAATATACTAGCTATGAAAAATATTGCTGATGTTTGTTATAAATTTTTAAATTACGTTTTCGTTATAAGAACATAACATACGTAGTTCAATGAAGAACAATTCTGTACAACAGTGCCTGTTGGACAATAGAGTATGCAACTTTGTAACTCCCAAAGTATCATGTAACTTTTGATCATGCCTATATATACTTATTTTGTTAATAAAATTATAAAATATCTGAACCGTATACGTAGTTTCGTTGCGTCACGATCCAGTCTAATCTAACGCTGCCTCCCTTTTGCTAATCTTTACCTTTTCTCCACTTTTGCTAGTTTCAAATGGGAAAATCGTCTAAGAGCATTATAAACAAAATCTAAGTAATGAAACCACAAAAACAAAACGCCTGAGATCTTTATTTGTTCCCCTACTTGCATTGATGAATGGAACAAGCGAAGCTTATCAGATGAAGATGTGGAAACGAGATAATGATATTAAACATATTCATGTAACTAGTTGTCCAGGACCCAGAGTGAGTGAGTTGTCTTATTCAGTAGAAATGTTAGTTATTATGACACATTCACTTAGAATAAGTTTTGAGTGCTAAATAACGTTGATTATGACTGGTCACTTTGTTCAGTTATGAAACAGTTCTGGTGAGATCTGTGTCGAGAAAGTACCTAGAAAGACACATGCCACATGGATGCGCGACGGGCTAATTTCCTAACTAGGAGGGGAGGGGAGGGGAGAAGAAGGAAGCTGGGTCTGGTCAGAGGACTAAGAAAATTGACAGAAGCAAAAATGACAGTGTGTGTTTGATCTTCCTTCGGTGAAATTCTGGTAAAATTCGGCTGAATTTTATGACCATTTTATTAAACTTAGCGCACTTTATACTTGAAGATCATAAATTTGCCAATAACGAAGTAACTCTCGTTTTAATCGCTACTTTTTCCTTGTTTAAAATTCTTATCCGGCCAGCAAGACTGCGCACGAAAAAAGAAATGAATGAATCTTAAAGCCGTTTCTTCAGCAGCATTAAATTGCATTTGCATACTGTTCCCTTCCTGCTTTGCATTATGTTGCCTTTATGCTATCTTTATCTCACACACTGAAATCCTTACAAAAACCACAGATATATTGATATTCAAATGAGTGACCTGTTAAGTTCGACAATTGTTTTCAGGGAAGAAAAAAGACAGCATGAACGCCGGTCGAGGAGGAAGCTTGTGGAACTATTAAGAATCATAATTATTGTTATTGTTTTGGTCAATAGTTTTCATATTCCAAAACATGCGCATTCAATTCTGCACACTGAGCAGTTTCCTTCATCTCGACATACACATATAACATACAGCGTAATTTGTTCAACGTCAATAACACAGGAAGTGGTATAAGTGCTAAATTTTAGATATAAATTACGAACATTCGAGGGAACTAAAACAGTTTAATTTGACATATGTGCTGTTCAACCTTAAGCTTAAATGACTTGTTAATATGCAATTTATAGGTGCTAAAACTAATTTACATACTGCACCTGTTCTGTTCATTATAAAACTTGATCTTCTCGTTCAAGGCGCGGCTGTCTTGAACTGGATAGATCAGTAAAGTAATTTTGCTGTGTTTTGTACTAAGCGCCGAAAAGACTTCATCTTCTTTTCTTATATGAAAAAATCCGATATATTGTTGTTCTTGGCTGATTTTTTCCCCTAAATAAGAAAAAACTAACGCGAAATTAAAGGTATCATCAGATAAGCAGCATCTAAATACAATGGAGTTAATGACAGTAGCTCCCAACGCACATCCAGGATGTTGCTCAATTAACGAAGTTTTGAAATATTTGCCGATATTATCTTGGGCGACAAATGTGAGGGATAAAATGAGACGAGATAGATTTGAGACACCCAAAACTGAGTACACTACGAGCAGTCTCTCTTGTCTCTTCCCGTTGAAGAGCGCAAAAACTAAGACAATTCAACAGGCAAGATACACGGTTTTGTGTTCTTCTCCGCGGATTTTAGAGGAAAAAAGAAGACTACTCGTAGCCTAAAATCTTATAATTAGCCACTGGACAGATGAAAACATCAAAAGAAAGAATGGAGACAGGCACAACAATTACCGCTAGAAGAGAATAGATGGATTGTTTAAATTAACTCAGGAACACGTTTACATAATGAGTTATAATGGCTAACCTCAAAAGATTTCCGAAAAGTCTCTCGTTTTACTTAACAAATAAAGAAGCCTAAGCCGTTTATAAAACACGACGGGCATTTGAGAACACGAGGGAAATGTAGAAAACGCGAGCCGCAGGCGAGTGTTTTCT